GGATTCTTGCCCTCTTGGCGCTTCGATTCCCAGGGGCGAGCCGGTGCCTCGAGCGGGCCTTGTCTCACTCCAGAGATAAAAATCGTATGAACAAGACAGGGAGTCCCAGGTCAAGGCCAGTCAAAGCGAAAAGAATACAACTTTTATAATTTGATTCTTCTTGGCTGCAAAATATCAATAATTTGAAAAGAGACATAGATCATGTTTTGTGAGGCTGTATTGTCAGGCGGTCGCAATATGTGTCGCCTGTCACGCAACTTGCACTTTACTGTGCGACAAACAACACAGTGGGACAGCTGATGAAATACTGGGGCAATGATATCAGTGCAGAAACGTATGTGTTATGATATAAAAAGTACACAAGTGTCTGGGGAAAAGAGGCCGAGAAGAGAGCGAAAAAAGAGAGGATCCAGCTGCGGCAGTGACAGGTCCTCTTCAAAGCTGGAGAAAAGAGGCCGAGAAAGAAGCAGTGGTGGTGATTAAGCTAGTGGATAGAGTTGACTGTCCACTTTTACGATGATCGTGGAGTCTTATCGCTTGGTGTCGGATGCAGAGCAACGACCCGTCACCTGGGTAGCCTCTAAAAATCTATCCGGGAGTGGAGCTTTTCAATTCAGCTACAAATCGGACTCGTTACCGCATACTGAGAAACAAATGCCTATCTTTTCTCGGCAGTGCAATTGCCATAACGATTCTCATCTACAGTATTCATTTCTGCCGATATGGGATGGTTGAGAAAAAAGTCCAAGTCCTGCAAAAGCATGAGGCTGACTCGGTACCTACCACGCTCGGATCGAAGGAGGCGCCCGCATCGTACCGTGCAGATTGCGTGCTTGGCTCTTTTCTTGACATGGCGAGATATTCAAAACGGTAGACGGGAGATGGGAATAGGTTGTTGCAGCCAAACCCGCCGCCCCCGAAGTCGGTCTCGATCCTTCCTATTTGCCTCATAGTAAGACAAGGCGTTGGCGACACGACAGAGATACCATTACAGTGCTGATTCGTTGTCAGTATATGTGAGAGGTGTGTGGTGTGTGGTGTGCGTTTGTGTGTGTGTGTGTGTAGCTTGTCTGTAGCTATTGCCGCAATGCAACATTTCGTAGTGGAGGGGTCGGTGAGCAACCCGAATACACCATGGACAAATAGGTAGGTAAATGTAAGCAGGTCAAAGTTTTCATGATATGAAAACTTGGGCACGACTACTGTAGACCCTGGAGTGTCATGCCAAACCATATTTCCGTTGGCACCGATTGGGGGGGCATGCCGACTGCTTTCCATCCACCATGTATGCAAGAGAGCTACAACGAGAATGCAGCCGATAATGAGCATATTTGACCAAACCTTGAAAAAAAAGCGTCCAGCGTATTTGTCTGCTCATGGCAGGAGGGTCCATGCCGGACAACCCGGGGGCAACATGTTTGTGCTCCACGGAAACCATAAACAGCAAGTGAATCTGGGGAATACATGTGGTGCAGGCCGAGATGGTCTATCCATCTGCAAGTCATTGTACCATGGCAGTAGTGGAGTGACTGTATGCTCGCCATTTACAGAGTTTTGCTGCCTTTCACAATGACTAGCATCACGATTATTGTCGAGACGATTATTCCGCTCAAGTGTACAAGTTGGTCACGGCGTCAAACATGTCATTGGGCATGATACTTGCTTATAGGAAACCTGATGATCCGTGATATCCGTCGTTTTAGACAATCACCTAAACTCTGTATTCACTTTTATTTGAATATTGACCGTGATTTCATGTATTGCCGGGATTGTTACTTGCATTCATCCTTATCTTGATATAGGGTCCGTTCACATTGTTCAATATACGGCACGTCCACACCGTTCAAAGCTCTGGTAACAGACTGCACCCAGCTTGGCCCCATTATACTAGGTAGGCAACAGGGCAATAATTTTGTTCATGGCAGTCTGTGGCCTGTGTCTTGTTGAACCCGTTTTGGCGGGTGCTGAATGACGGGGTCACAAAAAACTCTCCATTGTAGAAAATAGACCAGAGGATGAGAGGGAGAAAAAAAAAGGTTACCTACGTCATTTCGACGTCTGTCGCAAAGTACTTTTGGTGGGCGTCGCAAGCAGTGGGCTCACTGCCAAAGCCGTTGCTGTCGCTAAAATAACTCCTGTACGCCACTTTTTCAGGCGGTCCCACGCGCTACACTCCATTAAACAAGAGCAAGACCAGCCACTTCAGTTGTCTTTCGTTTTTGATCTCCTGAAAGTCATGGAATCCTTGGGGATCGATCGATGGGTAACACATGTAACTGACGGGTAACAAGATCAGTGATCACCAAAGAGACCGACCGCCCTTTTCAACTGTGGTTTTTCAGGATCAAGTTGTTCGGGGTTCAAATTCATTCAACTTGACCTAATCGACACGGCTACATGCCTGTCAAAAACGTGCATGCAATATTGACTTTGAGCGCATGCTTCAGATCTGATACACTTGCTTATTTACTTTCAGGCTTGTATATAATGGCGCTGTTCTCGTGGAAGCGTGTTTGTGCTTTTTTGGTTCTCGTCAATGCGGATGAATCTAATCATCAGATGGATTGGCTGCCGAGACTGTGTGGCCTGATGGGCGGATGGCTGATGACGTCCTGTAGAATCCATTCTCGTGGCCGTGCCGGGTTGCCAGACCTGGGCTTACCTGCCCGGGCCACGATCATGATCCGAGTGTTCCATGTTGTTCTGCTGCTTACGGCACACAAGAGTCTTGAGAAGGCGCCTCGCAAGGGCGAAGCGATATTGTAGGATGCCAATGGCTTCCAGGATACCTACTCTACATTGACCGGTCTTGTATCGATGCCCTGGCCAGTGCCAGGTACCTCCAAGGCAGACAGAGTTCCAAGCTTGAAATGGTCCATTGGGAAGAAGAGTGATGGGAATAACGCGACATTGCTTGTCCTCATGATTGATTTGTCTCTTGTTCCGACAGTTTAAACGCAAACACCAGGAAAAACCGGATGACCTGAAGCAAGCCGTTGCATGTAATACACACACGGAGGCAGCGGTAACGACACTTGCCGCGATCCAACGTTTTTTCATGATTGTTCGATTGCCAAATCGTTGCTAGTTTCCTTCAAAATTACTTTTGCGCTACAATCGCTGGGGAGACCTGGAGAAAGGTCCTCAGCTTGGGCACTACGAGTACGCTGGACCTAGGTGGCTTCAGTGGCATCGGATGATGCTTTCCAGCGAGCGATTCTGTATGGACAGCAGGGCTTTGGCGCACAGAGGAATGGCCAACAAGTCTGTACAGTGTGGTTTCAAGCCGGCAAAGCACTGTCGCCAATCGGCAAGCCCCAAAAGTGGTTGAGTCGGGGGGTGTGGATTCCCTTTGTTGTACACTGTCTGTTTGGATGCTCAGAACCAAGTATTCTTTTAGCTCCAAGCATTTTTTCCCTCCTGCTTGCCTACTTGCATGGGGGGCCTGCAGGCTAGAATCCCACACCCTGGTCCGCCGCGCCGCTCGCTCACTCCATGGCCCAGTTTTTTTCTCCAGGCCTCTACGAGCCCGCCAGTTCGACTTGGTTTGAGGGGATCCCAGTACGCTACACACGCCGCTACTCCCACTCGTCTCTTTGGCAAGTCTCACCCAACGGGAAGTACCTCTTGTCCGCGAGTACCTTTTCTGGGTTTGGCCTGTTGTTGAAAAAAAAAAGAGCCATCCTGGGCGGTTTGATGTACGTACTTATCCTTGGTCCCCGTTGTCTCCATTATGGTGCATCGATATTGGTGAGATTTTATTATTGTGTGGAAGGAAAGAAGAGCGAGGAAAAAAAAAAGTTACAGAGGATCCTCCCCAGTTAGCGCACCCAAGCCAGAAACCACACCACACTAAAACCTACTACTCCGTGCCTCCACCCCGACCATATTAGTCCTGACCTGCCCTCACCTCCGCGTATCTCTTCCCCCTTCCTGCCGTCTTTTGCTTTGCAACGCACAATTCTAACCTACCTATCCAACATCCAACCCTCACACCTGGACTGGATTAGATAGCATTGCGGTTGCTTTATTCCTTTTATCATCCGACTACCTCTTTTTCCCCTCCCCACGCTTCTCGCCGTCTCTTCCTCTTTCCCTCCCAGTCCTGATTTGGTTGCGTCTACCGTCTCGACTCTTGACCGGCATACTTGGAACGATACGACTAGTTGGGATTCTAGCATTTCCAGTTGATTCATCTGACATTTTTGAATCGACCTCTCTCGAGACGCCTTTCGAAAAGCTCCAGTGGTTTAGCCGGCTTGATTCTTGAGAGTGCTACTTGCTTGGGTGGTGGAAGAAAGCAAAACGGGCAAAGCGAATCGACAAAGGAAACGCGGCATAGTTCCAACCACGTCGAACAAGGAAAAACACCAAACCAAACAGATTAGAACACGCACGTCTTTGTGTGTCTGTTCTTTTCTACGATTTTGAGTTTCCTTCGCACGTCAAACTCGCCCATCGTCAGTTGTCTACGACAAGGACTAAAGAGTAGTTGTACAGTTGCTGGAATATTGCCTGTACACTCTTCTTGAGCCTCGATCCTCGATACTCACTTTATGGGCATTGTCTTGATCCTTTAATCAACGACCTGTAAGTAGATCAATTTTCTTTCCGAGTGCGTGACCAATCGCGTCTACAAGTCATGTCGAATCTGGTCTTGGACATTACTGGGCAATCATGGAGGAGCAAGAAACATTACTGGCTGGATCGACGCCAGTTGAAAAAGAGTGGGAGAAAGACGGCACCGAGTCAAGAATCGTCATTCCTCAGTGCCGTAGCCTGTGACAACGCACGCGCTTCAATCATGTCTCGCCGGGACTCTTTCCAACGCCTATTTACATTCCACGACCTACTTTCCCCGGATTCAGCATACTGCATAAATACCCAACCCCGCCTCGTGCCTCTCCAGACAAGCGTCTCATATGAAGCTATTGGCCATTTTCCGCATCTAGCGACCCGAGATCAACATAAAATGGAATCATGCATCGTGTCAAACAATTATGCTGATCGAACCTTTTCAACTTGTAGGCTTCTCCACGCGCTCAGTCGCTCCTCCCGAAGAAGACTTCCTCTCATCAGACTTTTGGTTTGAGGCTTGGAGGTCCATCTTGCCCTGTTTACCTCACTTTAAGCAGGCTCCTGGGAATAATAGTCTCGAGTCGAATCTCGACTGGTCATCTCTAAACCCGGCATCTTGCTTCGTCTGGCAACCCACAACTCTGGGAATGCCTTACACGCCCCCTTCCCATCGCTCTCCCGCGTCCTCTGCTCCCTCATCACCCGACGTCAGCCGTCGATCATCCTTTCATGGCACGGGATCAGTAAACGGCGGCTCACCCGCCGCTTCATCACCTCGCCCGGCCTTGCCTCGGTCTGCATCTTATCTAACCAAGCACAGGCGGACGCCATCAGCCAACGTGTCGACATCACCATCAGTGTCCCACTCGTCTATGGAAATCACTCCCCCAGGTACTTCGCTCAACCTCAAGGCCATGGTTGCTACTCAACACATGCCAGTCAGGCAATCACCGCCGCCCATTACTGACGCTAGGTCAATGCCTGTTGGTGCCATCATCTCACCGCCAGACTCCCAAACCTCTAGCGAAGATGAGGGAGCCGAATCTGCCTTGACGAGAGGAAGACAGATTGAGAATCTCAAGGAGCTCAAGGACGCAATTAGTGCTATCCCGCAGCACCGGGCAAGCTCTCCCGACGGCAACTCGAGCGCGTCGCCTGGCGATTTGCTCGTCTTGCCCCAACAGAGGGACCACTTGGCAGATGCTGCGCAAGCAAACCTCAAGCTTGACACTGCACAGACTGGACAACGGCGGATCCTGCATAACCGTTCCAAGACGGAACCTAATCTGATGGCCGTTGCAAAGTCTGCTAGCGAGACTTCTGCTGCATCAGACGATTCGGAACTGGACGAGCCTCCATTCAAGCCTCAAATGGTGCGGAAAAAGTCGGGCGAACTTGTCCGCCCTGCTCTCCGGCCTGCAGCTTACCGCAGACCTTCGAGTATGCCGGGAACGCCCACATTTTCAAAAGCCGTCCACTTTGACTCGCATCTGGAGCACGTGCGCCACTTTTTGCAAGTTGATCGACCGCTCGCCGTCAGTGCTGGTTCGTCGCCAGCTGATAACTACGAGAGCGACACCGAGTACCCATTCGACGACAAGTCCACAACAAAATCACCGCCTTTCGAATGGGAGCTGGTCCTGGCCAACTTTCCCGGCGAGTCACTGCTGCGCAAGTCCTTGCCCGCTCGTGTCGAGCGAGTCTGGATGTCCAGCGACCAAAAGTCCTTGATTGGATCAATCGCCATTGCCAACCTGGCCTTTCAGAAGCACGTTGTCTGCAGGTTCACCTTTGACTATTGGAAGACCACCTCCGAGGTTGGTGCCGAGTACACCCACGAGATTAGACCTAGAGAGTCGGACGGGGGCCATGACCGGTTTCAATTTACCATCAAGCTGTCCGACATGGCCAACCTCGAGGCAAAGACTCTCTTCTTCTGCATCAAGTACACGGTCAACGGGCTCGAGTACTGGGACAATAACAACAATCTGAACTTTCAGGTCGACTTTCGCAAAAAGATGCTTCCTCAAAATGGCAAGGGCAACTTCAAGGGAGCCTCGTCGCGGCCCCTCAACTCTTTGCCGCGAAGCAACCGTCGCTCCAGCCCCTCGGCTTCTCCCCGGCCCAAGTCCATGCCCGTGGGCAGCCTGGATGAGTTTGGCCACGACGGCAAGTTTATCAGCTTTGATCAGCCCATCCACGAGTACCTGGGCGAGCCGGAACCAACCATGCTGCGCCTAAAGAGTTCCAAGTCCACCACCGCCCTTCCAAGCGATAACCTGGCCAACCGGCTCTCGACGCCCAGCGGCCTTGCCTTTGCAAACCGCTACGACTTTGGCGTTTCTCTCAACGCGGCCAAGCAAGCTCACAAGGAGTCCAAGGGTAGTCCCCGCGGCGATGGCCTGTACATGAAGCCCAACAAGAAGGCTTCCTTTGCTACCCAGCCGGGTCTGACCAAGGAGGCTCCATCTGGTCCTCCTGTCCCTTCCATTGTGGCTTCCAAGGTTCCCGGAACAGATTCGCCCATCATGTCCTCGGCGTCCTATGAAGAGATTGTCAACAAATACTGCTTTGTACGTACCACTGGCCATACCACCAATCCTCTGACCCTTGATCAACATGACCAGGATTACTTTCAGCACAAGAAGATTAACTAACCTGCCTCTTCTGCTACAGTTCAATGGGTCCAAGCAGACTAGCCCTCAAATCAAGGACGGAACTCTACAAAGTGGTCGCTATGATGGTCCCCATGACGGGTTCTTTACCCGCGGCACCAACAGCACCAACTCTAGTTTGGATGGAAGCCCCGACATGATGTCTGCCAAGTCTCACGGCGGGTTGCACTATACCCTGCACCAGAACCTGAGCCCATACTTTCAGAATCAGCACATTGCTGTCGGTGCATCACCTGCCGAGTCGCCTCTCGGCGGGCCTACTACGGCCGTGCGCCACACGCTCAGTCCTGCACCCGTTATCAAGGCCGATACGCCTACACCAGCACCCATGACCGCTGGGTTCAGCCCCCTTGCTGGTACGTCGCCAAGCGTCACAGTCGATGCAGCTCCCTTTATGGTTCAGGACCGCTTTCCTTTTGCAACAGAAGCTCATTCTCGGCCAGCAATTAGGGGTTAATACCAGCTCGGAGAGACTGCATCTCTCGAGTACATCACCACGATATCTGTACATCTGTTGCGGCGACAACTGATTATTCACGACTCGTCGCTTTGCTTTCTTGCTTTGTTTTTCTTTCCCTCGCATCATTTCAACTTGAACGAGCCTGCTTTTGCTTTTTTTGGTTCTTGCATTTTAGTCTGGCGTTTCGGCAAAGGAGCATTTGGCATCATGGATATTAGGAGACATGAATGGGCCCAGTCACGCACATGAAATGGACTGGGGTATGGCATGACAAAAAATCGATATACATTTGGCGACGGCGCCCAAGGCACGGCGTTTACGGATTCCAATTATGCTTGGAACTGGAACCGAGCTTGGTTCCTTCTAATGCATAATTATTAGCGTTTTGTTTCCTTGTTTTTTTCCTTTTCCTTTTGAAACTCTTCGATCTTGGAGACGGACGGATGAGAAAGTGGATTCCGGTATCAGGGCCCAGACCCATCAACGACGGGCAGCACCAAAATGTGGTCAATTACCATGTTGCAGGCTGGCATGAGTCTTGTACCATGATTGTTACTGGAGGGCAAGGGTTTAGGGGTGGGATATAGAAAATGGACCAAACTAGATTGCCTGGTAACCGCCCAAGAGTTGAGGCCAGTCGCTTTTTTGGCAGGATGGGAAAATACAACCTTGTACTCGGGCATGCAATTCAATACCATACAATCCAGTGAACGTGTAACTTGTCTATTGCCGTGACGTCTGTTGAATTGTGATGACTAAATGACTGTGGAAATATGGGGACCATCTGTTGATCATGGAAAATGAAGTAAACCGGTCCGTCCCGTATCAAGGGTGGGCACTTGGCTTGCTGTAGATGACTCGGGCCAAGGTCCACTCGGTCCCATAGTAAGAACGGCATTAGAATTCCTCCGACAGTACAAGAGCTGAAAATGATCATGAACTAGTCCAATGTCACCCGAGAAAAGCTGACCATTTTGCATGTTCTTTTCAAGTCTCGAGCGATGGAGCTTACCCGGGTATGCAGAATAGTAGGTATGGATTCATGGATCATGGATCGTATCTAAACGCTGGTGGATACTTGGCAATCCAGTTGATGCTTAACAATATTACACTCGAAAGTCTGTCAGCAGACAATGAATGGTCTGTCAAGTCTCCGTAACCTTCCGTTGCTTACAACAAGTAGAACTATATAAGTACCGTTGTCACTGGCGTGGAATCAAAAGGCTCTCATACAAGACGTCTTTTCATTGTCTAGCTCTTGCTGTATTTGACCATGACCTCTTTATCGAAACCAGTCTTTCTCCTCGTCTGTGGCGGATGGCACCCCCCGGCAGCCTATGATCGGCTCAAGGAGCAGCTCGAGGGCAGAGGCTACGAATACTACTGCCCCAAGCTGTCGTCGCTGGGACCCGAGGCCAGCGGTGTCACTTATCAGGCGGACGTGGAGGTTATCCGCCAAACCGCCTTGCCATTGTTTGAGCAAGGGAAGGAGGTGGTGCTTGTGGCCCATTCGGCAGGTGGTGTGCCGGCTGTAAGTCTCGTCCTTGAATTTCTCCCCGAGATTCTAGAATAATCCGTATGACACTGGCAGTCAATTGATACGAGCTTTTCTACTAGGTTGTTGCTACCCAAGGACTCGAGATTAGCCAGCGTTTGGCAAAAGGCGACAAGGGCGGATTCAAACAAATCGTCTTTATTGCCGCCGTCGTCATACCGGTTCGGGGGTCGGATACACTACAGACTCTGGGCGGGTCATGGCACCCTGCCCAGGGAGGTGTTGAGCCCTATACCAAGGTTTGTGGCCTTTCTTTCTTTCTTTCTTTCTTTCTTTCTTTCTTTCTTTCTTTCTTTCTTTCTTTCTTTCTTTCTTTCTTTCTTTCTTTCTTTC